CGTTACTAAACGTAATCTAAATTAGTAGTCTCTCCTTTTAATAGTGTAAAGAAATATGACTTTAATACTGGAAAGTTTTGTGATAGCCTTAAAATATATTTTCATCTTTAGTTGTAAAATTTAAAGCTTAAAAGATAGTGTAGATCAAACAGATCTATGAAAACTTGAAAATATTTAAAATTGATGGTCCAAAAATGTTTTAAAAGATGTACTATTTATGAAACTTGAAATCCATTTTTTTCTCATGTCCTTGATTTTTGATATAGAGATGATCAATTTGATTATATTTGGGCATCAAAACAAGTTTTGAGGTAAGCTATAATTTGATTGTTTAGAGCCTAAGCTCTATATAAATTTTTCCCTATATATATGAGAAGGTACTGCAAAATGCCTATCAGTGAATTTCTACTATATTTCATCTATACTTTATCACCATCCAAAGTCCATCACATGGTCACAGTTGTTCAGTAGTGTTTGTTTGTTTTTATTATTATTGTACTAATCAGATTTATTTAAAATTTGGGGAGTTTTTACATATGATCAAGTTCTATCAAAATCAAATATTAAAACAATAATAGTCAAAAAATAAAATGGTAAAATTATCCTTAAAACTTTATAGCGGTATTTTGTGTAATTTTTATCATTCAAATTATTTGTTTTATATTTTATTCATGTGCATCTTATTAAGGCGCACAGACTTACAAAATTCAGATCAATATGACATGTAAAACAAATATTAAATTTCAAATTCTATCAGATATCTGTGATTGTGTGATAAACTTTGAACGGTGATAAAATTGTAACTTCACCTATACGCGTTTTATATATATATATATATATATATTATAATAATAAAATTGATATAATATAAATTTTGACTTGGATTAGACTAAACCCAAACGGGTTGAGTTTGGGTTTTAGTCCACTTTGACTTGGACCCAAGGCTTGAAACCAACTAGGTTTGGGTCAAACCCATATTCTGTCTTTCGCCGTTAGCCCAAGCCAGGTCCAACCGGTTATTTGCTTTCGAGTCTCAACACTTACGATAATACCAATTGAATGCGTGCTCTTCGCACGTGGACTTAAATGCATCAGCATCGAATAAAATACTTGAATTTTAAATCAAAAGAATAATGATCTAAATTTGATCTGGCGCAACGATTGTTGGTTGATGTATAGAGAGTGGAAAATTGGCTTGTGCATCCAAGCCTGCCCTTGTTACTATGTTGGCTTGGAGATCTAAACCGTCCAATAAAATAGGGTCTGAAAAAGTAAAATCAACGGTTCAAGTATTTTTTCTAAAAAATATTATTTTTAATTTTTAAAATTTATTTATTTTTACATGTTAATAATTTTTATGTTAAAGGTTATATATTTCCTATAAATTAAGATTAAATTCTATTTCAAAAATAAATTATTAAAGGGCTCGCATTTCTGCATGTGAGACTGTAGACTCATATAAACGGTGTCCATACTCCATAGAGAGTGGGCATGAATCTTTCGCTCTCTCTCTTGAAATATTTTTCCTCTTATCTATACCCTTTTCCTTAATTATTTATAAAATTGTTCCATATAAAATCTCCCATCCGATCTTGATTAGTTAATATCCCCATTTCGTCTTAAAAAGCAAGAGATGATGATTAGGTAAATATCCCTATTTCCTATTAAAAATAGTGAGAGAATGTCGGTGGAGAGCGTTTTGATTGGCGATGAGAAAGTGAGAGATTTTATGAAGAGGGCTACGGTTAAGGGAGGCCCATCTCCTCTACCATGCCATATCCAATTGCCTCGCCTCATCTTACTCTCTCCCGTACCCTACCAAAAGGCTCTCTTTTTAAAGGTTACCTACCCTAAGCCCCCTCACATAAGACCTCTCTTTAAGGTCACATACTCCAAGCCCTCATACATAATAGGGTCTTACTTTCAATCAATTGCCTGTCATACTCTTAACACTTGCTCTTTCTCTCTCTCTCTCTCTATATATATATATATATATATATATATATATATATATAGTAAAAAG